TTAAATAAAACAAACAATCCAAAGGATTTCAAGCCACACAGGCTCATTATTATAGTGCGTATAGAGAGTGCTTAACACATGGAAGCTTGGAATGAGCAGCTGCTTTTCAGAGAAGACATGACAGCACAATAAATCAGAGATGGTCAAGCTTGTCCCATCAATCCATAGTTTGATTTTGTTTGAAATTACACAGGGGAATAATTTCACCACCTAACCTTAGAAATCTAGCTTCCTAAAGTAGGAAACTAGTCATGTTGCGTGATGCATGGAGAGACTTTTACTTTTCCAGAGATCGTTCAGAACACTTAATTGAGGAGCATTGAACTCCTTGGTTTCTCACCTGGGTGACTAAGGGGAGCTACTCTTACCTTACCAGTCAAGTCTAAAAAATGAAGTGATTAGCCTCCCCCGAGCTCTGCCATGCTGAACAAGATTTTAATGAAGTCACATGTGATAAAGGATTGAGGTAACTGGGTCTGGAGGAATTTTTTCTAATGGAAAACAAATGTTATTTGTATAGTTATAACAATGCAGTGCTACAGTGTGGGTTATGGTACTACACCAACATTGCCCAAATGCATTTAAATAATAATGCTGCTTGCTTTTCTTTCTGGTAGAAAAAAAAGCATTACAAAGCTTCTTCCTTCGTCACTCATCCCACATTGGTACCACATACATGGAAGCCAAGCACAGATGCAAAAGCACTCTTCATTTTGACAAAAATTTGTCCTTTGTCTCTGCAAAATCAATGACTCCAGGCTTTTTATAAATGATTGGTAGCTTCTGGGCGGGTATTGGAAATTAAAGTTAAGAAGAAATAAACCTTCTCATTGCCATCAGCAGAATTTAATCTGACTAGGTGGGATTTTCCGTTTATGTTGGCAAACAGAAGCATTACATATTTGGACTGTTTATTCCGGTAACCTTAGCTAGCCTGCAGAACTGCAACATTACTCCTTTGATTAGCTCCATGCAAAAAGATCTTGCGAGGTGGAAAGATCTCCTACTCTTTCTATATTTGGCAGGACCAACTCCATAAAAATGTCCATTTTGCCACGCCTCTGATACCCCACTGCAGCTGCTTCCTCTCCTCATCCCACAGCGAGATATTAAAAAGTTTGCAGGGAACCTTCTCCAAGTTTATCTGGATGTACAAAAAAGCCAAGAATGCGCTTGTCAAGGTTACAAATATCTAGGGAGCTAAGATAGTTTTTAGTCTAACTGGCTCTTCAAAATATAATAGAGGCCTGCCAGCTGAAAATTATTAACTGCTGGCTGAGCAGGGATTGTGAGCGCACTCTGTAAGAGATGGAGCAGGAATTATATGTACCTATACTGCTGGAATTCTTACAATACCATAATAGAGCCATCCTACCACCAGATGTGCTTATAATGCTTTCAAAGTGCACTCTTAATATCTAGGCAATTGAGGCACTTATTTCATTTCATCCTCCTGTCTTGTAACTCAGGTTTCCTTTTTAGGGAGTGATAGGATTACTTCCTTCTCCTGATCCATATGTTGTGAGGAGTTTTTTTCATTATTATTTTCGTGAAATGGCCTTCCATGAGTCATTTATGTTTGAACTGATCTTGTAAGTTGTTTCAAAAGTCAAATGGAGCCTTACTTTGATGACTGTAGAAAACTTTAATACCCTTATATAGCTTTTTAAATATGGTCAGACATATGCTTTTTTCTACAGCTTGTTTAAATGCCAGAAAGGTAATTATGAAGTGTTAGTTGGTCGGTGCCTCTTTTAAGCTGTGGCGTATGGTTGAAATTATCACTATAGTCAAGAGGAAGATAGAGCTTTCTTAAGATAATAGGCTCTGTGATTTATCTCACATCTTGGGAAATCACTGAAAGTTGTAACTTTAGGATGACCTAACAATATTTTCTCCAGATTATTTTTTGTCCTTCTGCCCTCTGAATAATATGATGCTTGTTATTTTTTAAAAAAAAACTCATAAACCAATTATGCTAAACAATTCATTCCATCAGGGGTTAGGTCTGCTCTCAAACCTATTTTCAGAGCAGATACATTAGTTCACCTGGTATCCACTGCTGGTTTTTGTCACTGTATTATCTGAAGCAAGTTTCAACTCTCTGTGTACAAATTCAATGTTTCGTGAGAGATCAAGAGACCTTCCAACACAAACAGGTCTACAGCCTGTGATGAGATCGAGTTTATCATTTGTGTGTTCATTTATTTTAAATAAAGGAACTACTGCCTGTCAGGTACCAATTTCTGCAATGCAGCCTTTGGGGGAAAAATAGTAAAGGGAAACTGTTCCAGAAATAGCAATTTTCTAAAAATGCTACCTCACTGGCGAGTAGGGTTTTTTGGAATTCCATCAATATATTTTAATTCAGTCATAATAATTTTAGGGAAAGGACTGTTATTGTTGCTTATGTTTAAGAAGATAAGTATCAATTATGATGTCCTCTGTTGGGACAGCTAGTAAAAGAAAGTAGTCACAGAAGTAAGTAAACAAATAAGCGCTGTTATGCCATACAAGATGGAGTGGGATACCATTTCTGCTAATGATGGAAAGACACATCCTGAATATGAGTTCAGTCTCTTAACTGGAAAAATAAAAAGAAATAGTGTCACACTGGCTTCACCCTGAAGTATTTCTTTTTTAAGTTATTGAAGGAATACTGATGTAAAACAAGTATGTCAGAAGAGTCAAGCCTTTTGATTTACTGTATTCAGCTTCTGAAGACTGCCATACACCATGGAAACCCACAGCCAGTTCCTTGCCTATTTACACCATTTTTCCATTAAAGCAATATATTCGATTCAAAAAAAGAGACATTTCTAATTGACAACATTGGAAGAGACATCATTACTTGGCTTAGTATGATTCAGAAACTGAAAAATATGTCCAGAATTTCCTCTCAATTTTCTTTCTGATTCCAACAATACAGTTTTTATGCTATAATTTTATTTTTTTTTTTCTCTCAGACCATTTTATTGTGGCAAGATACAGAACTGGACTCTATCAAGCTAAAAATCTTTTCTAAGCAAGGGTGGCTTT